AAACACCTTGGGCCGGTAGGAGTGTTAGCGACTCTTACTCGCGCTGAAGTGGTAACGTTGCCTTCCCCACTTCAGGCGTTGGCCAAGGCTAGTGACACATACATCGCCCCCCAGACATATTCAGACCCACCAACGCTCTGTTCGAGAGATGTGTCTGAGTCCCTAGAGGAGTTATAAGTGGTCAAGAAAGGACCCCAGATACTCTTGGGCGATGATCAGTAGAGGTCCTAAAGGTGAACGTTTTGTGGTAGAGGTCAATGTAGGTGGCTGTAAAGTGGGTGCCTTCACATACATAGGCTCTACACGGAATTTCATTAGTCGTGCTTGTGTGGACAGACTGCGCTTAGGGGACCAAGTGCAACAGCTTAGCAGAACTGTAGCTTCTACGCTAGCCAACAAGCACCAAATGTTAGTCAAAGACTATGTCAAGGACCTGGTTTGTACCTTCTCTTACGAGGAGGGGAAGTGAGACACAAAATCTCATTCCTTGTCAGCGACGAACTGCCTTTTGACATGTTGCTAGGCATGTATTACCTCGAGGTTGCTCATCCTCAATTTGATTGGGATAGGAAGGTGTTGATACACAAGCTGCCAAATGGTAGGACCGTTAGACTTCAAAAGCTCAAAGCTAGCAGTCTAGTGGAAAACTACGGCTGCATGTGTGCCTCCTATTTCTATTACTATAAGCAGAATCGTGAGGAGGGCATGTATTTAGTCTTTGTCTTTAAGAAAGGGGAGGCCGTAAAAACACCCCCAGAGATAGAATCAGTCGTCGCTCAGTATCCTGACCTTTTTTAGGAGCTCACAAGAGTGGTTGAAAGGGAGGTGGTCCATGCGATAGAAGTTGTCCCGGGTAGTAAGGTACCTGAAGGACGCATCTATAGGATGTTTCCCGCAGAGTTGGATGAGCCTCGCTGCCAGCTCAAAGAGCTCACAAAAAAGGGATGGATTCGGCCTAGTACCTCCCCTTACGATGCGCCAATCTTATTTGTTCCTAAAAAGGGAAGTACACTGAGGATGTGCATTGACTATAGGGGCCTCAATGCCATCACCGTTAAGAACGCGGAGCCCCTACCCCGCATCGACGACCTAGGATAGAATGCAGGGATGTCGGTACTTCACTAAGATCTGAAGTCTGGATACCATCAAATTGCTATTAGACCCGAGGACCAGCACGGAATTGCTTTTCATACCAGGTACGGTTTGCACGAGTTTGTGTTGATGCCCTTTGGCCTATGCATTGCCCTTGGGACATTCTAGCACGCAATGAATATGATATTTCATGAGTACTTCAACAAGTTTATCATTGTGTACCTTGACGATATCCTTATCTTTAATAAGACTATAGAGGATCACGCTGAGCACTTAAAGATTGTGCTAGGTCTCCTAAAACAGCACCAGTACAAGGTAAACTTGGAGAAATGTGAGTACGGTCGCACCAAGATCTTGCACTTTGGTTATGAAATCTCCGCGGATGGGTTGAGGCTGGACGATGCCAAACTGACCAGCATACGTGACTGGCCCAGGCCTCAGACTGTTACTGAGGTCCGATCGTTTTTGGGGATGACGGACTACTATCGGTCGTTTGTTAAAAACTATAGTACTATAGCCTCCCCATTAACAGATCTAACTCGACTTGACACCCCTTGGGAGTGAACCGAAGATTGTGAAGCAAGCTTCAAAAAATTGAAGTATGCTCTGACACAATACGAAGTCCTCAAACTTTCGGATCCTGATAAGCCCTTTGTCGTGACCACAGACGCTAGCCAATATGGCATAGGCGTGATCCTTGCGCAAAAGGAGGGGCCAAAGTTGAGACCGATTGAGTATATGAGTAAAAAGATGCCATCTCAGAAACTAGCTAGGTCCACTTATGAGTGTGAGCTCTATGCCCTATATAGAGCGCTGGTACATTGGAGACACTATCTCCTTGGCATATTCTTCTGTGTGAGATTTGACCATGAGACCTTGCGTTGGATTAAGACACAGCCGGTACTCTCCGACGCACTCAAGTGATGGATACAAGTGATAGACATGTATGACTATCAACTTGATCCTATAAAGGGGGAGTGCAGCAAAGTAGCTTATGCACTATCACGTCGGGCAGATTATCTAGGCGCACTAGTGACTGGATTTGGCATATTTGACGATCTGACTCGATCATTGGTGGAAGCCTATCAGCAGGATCCAGTTATGTCTAAGATCATTCGTAAATTTCAAGCGAAGGACAAAGTGATTTCGGACGAATTTACAATGGTAGATGGCTTGTTGTTTCTTGAGAAGGCAGGGAATAAAAGATTGTGTGTGCCAAATAGGGAGTCTTTGCGTAGTTTATTTTTAGGTGAATGTCATGATGCAACCGGCCATTTCGTCTATAGGAAAACTTCAGCTAACTTAGTGCAGAAATTTTGGTGGCCTTCTATGATGGAAGATGCCCAGAAGTATGTCGAAACCTGTCAGGTTTGTCAACGGGACAAACCTAGGACTCAGGCTTCGCTTGGGCTCATCAAGCCCTTGCCGATTCGTGAAGGTCCTGGATAGAGTGTGTCCATGGACTTCATGGATACTCTTATGACCAGCATGTCTGGGAAAAGGCACGTCTTTGTTATAGTAGACCGCTTCTCTAAGTATGTAAGACTAATCACGCCTGAAACTGCCAAAACTGACTACGGCATCAGATTGTTTATGGATAACTGGGTATGGGACTTCGGTTTACCTAAGTCCATAGTCAGTAATAGAGATGAATTTTTCGCTTTACTAGCGAACTGTGGCAAAACACCTGCCCAACAGATGGGAACCAGACTGCAAATGACATCAGGGAATCACCCTGAATCAAATGGACAGGCGGAACAAATGAACAGGGTAGTGCAGCACTTGCTTAGGCACTACATTAAGCCAAACCAGGATGACTGGGACGAGAAACTACCTCTCGTCGCCAGCCTATACAACAACATTGTGCACAACGCTACTGGCATGACTCCCAACCAACTGCATCTCGGTTGCAAGCCCCATTCCACCCTTGATTTCCTACTACCTGAGAAACAGGCCACTGCAGCACCCGACAACGTAGAATTTGCTGTCAAGTACGAACAAATGCTGCAGCAGGCTGTTGAGCACATGAGGAAATCTCAAGATGCTATGATTGCATCTGAGAACAAACACAAACGGCCTTCTAACTTTCAGGTAGGGGACATGGTCTGGGTAAAGTCATCTGAAGTGGGACAGGAACTAGGAATATCAAGAAAACTAATGCCACACTACTTCGGTCCCTAGGAGGTCCTAGACATAGTGGGGGGTCAGGTAAATGGACCTTCTTATGTGATTCACGTCCCACCTCATCTACGTACACACCCAGTTTTTCACGCATCAAAGCTGGCACCTTTCGCAGAGTCTGCACAGTTTCCTTCCAGACGGTCAATGCTGCCCCCAACCATGGATGGTGAAGTGGACATCGACCAGATCGTGGAGCATCGAGTGATGCCGGTACCCCGACCACAGGGCAGAGGCCGCCCTCCTTAGCTGAGAATGCAATACCGTGTCAGATTCAGACATCATCTGGATCCCAGCGAAGATCGGTAGTTCACTAGAGAAGAACTCGTGAGAAGTCCACCTCAAGTTATTGCAGGCTATGAAAGAGAACTCGAGGGGAAGATGCCTGCAGAATAGAAGACTTCTCAGAGGACTGTCGAAGTAAAGGAGAAGGGAATGCGAGGATCTGGGTCCTCGGCAGGCCTAAGGGGCCCCTGCTACCGATGTGCCCGCCCTATGTGAAGGCGGGCCTAACAAATCACGAGAGGCCCTCGACTATCAATTTCGTATTTGGGGTCCAGGCAGTTGTGACGCGCCAGTTGGTTGAGGGAAAACATAGGCCGAGCAGCAAAGACCTTCCACGGCCTTCCGGGCCTTTCCAAAGATGCAGGCCCTGGACAAGAATCGCAGCCTCATACACAGACAGTTTGGAGACCCAACTGAATAAGGCCCAGTAGCTGCAACAGAGGCGCAGCCACCTGGGGCCTATCGGAAGCTTCTGGGCTGAGGCCCAGGGAAGTCAGGCAGGCTCTTTCCATATAGGAAAGAGCTCGCTGCCTGGAGGGGCATTCAGCACTTGCATGCTGGCGGCAGCGCTGCTGGAGCGGACGCTCGTGGGCTGCTGCTGGCGCTGAGAGGCAAGGTGCTAGCGCGTGCGGTTGTACAGGGAGCAGGGCGCTGCTGAGGGCAGCGCCATAGCCCAACCTCCATAGGTGGATGGGCTTGGACTACAGTGAGGCGCAGGGGTGGTCTTCGGGTGTACAGAGGGAAGACGTGGGTGTAAGTCAGGGGAGAGAGAGAAGGATGATGATGATGATGATGATGTGAGGGCAGATACCTGGTATTGGCGATGGTCTGCTAAGGACGACATCTTCATGTACTTCGTGGGCTGCTGACGTCAACAGTTGCATTGTCAATTAGTAGGCGGGTAGCAGCTGTGTAGGAAGTAGGCTGGGTGCCGAGCGCCAAGTAGGGACATAGGCCTGGACACGTATGTTGTTGGTGGCAAGAGCAAGCTCTCATTGACATTGGTTTTCAGTGTTACGATTCTCCATTGGTGTCTTATTGGTGCAATGCTGCTTTCTGGACACTGTGATACGATCTGGCTTTCAATATGATTGTGCAATCTGAATATTGTCATCTCGCTATTGCTCATTTTCCTTGCAGAACTCTCAAATGACAAAATAGACTCCAGCCCTGTGGGGGCATCTTCCAGCATGCTCGGAGGTAAGAAAAAAGGCAGGGAAAGGTACTGGCAGTTTAAAGGTCATTTGATGAACTTCAATCACCCTGTGAAGCAGGTGTAGGTAAACGGGCACAGCAGAAAATAGCGAAGAAAATGTTTCTCTCATGCAGTTGGGGAACAGATATCCTTCATAGACTGACTTCACCTGAATGACCAAGAGGGAAAACAAAAGAAAAGTGACGAGAGAATGTGAAGTAGAAGCACACATACAATTGATCCACCATACCTTTGCTGGCAACTGCTGCTCCATTACCCATCTCCTCCTCATCCCTCCCTGCTTCAGACCTAGATCATCAACCCCCACGGAAATACTGTTAATAGGAGAGCAGTCACAGGAACATGTGGGAGACCTTCATGCTTTCGAGGTGGCCTATCAAGAAGTGCGAAGTGCCAGGATGCATGCTGCCACCTGCTTGTAAAAGTCAAAGTTTTGGCTAAATAAGTGGGAAAACACGACCACCATACACAGGACTGGTGCCGAGCGTACAATGCAAAAACGGTGATCAACTGTCACAAAACGACCCATCAGCATGGATTCCATCACTATACAAAGGCACAAACAGGGACAAATGACAAAAATGCACAACAGTCAATTCGGTGGTTGCTGCTAATTACACAACCAAGAAGTTGGATCAAGCCCCAGCCATAACTGCAATCTGCCTCTTCTCGGTGTAACTGGCCAGCAATATAACGAAGTTACATATCATTACAAGATAAAGGACTAGGTGTATGATAACCAACCCTCACAGTTCGCAGATTGGCAATGTCATCTGTACCTCCCACTCACGCATGGGCTAGTCAAGGGGTAGTCTTGATAGGATCCGGGTACTATAGGGAGATTCCCGATGAAGGGAACAGCCTCAGCAGCCCATAGAACAAAGGGATATGGTAAAGATTATCGCCATGGCCACTACACAAAATCAGAGTAGGCTGCGTTTCCAGTCTACCTATGGGCGATCACGCGATACCTGAGGGATGGGCTTCAAGGTAGGATCTTGCGATGCTCAGTGGCTGGGCTTCTGGGGTAGGTCCATGGGGATATTCACCAGATGGGAACGGATGGTTAGTTAGCCTAGGACTCAGGTCTACCTACCGTAAGGGAGGGTGGGAAATCACATCAGGTAGAAAGGGTAGGAAACTGCCTAGAGTCTGCCTGATTGAACAGCGGGTGTACCTGGAGGGTTTAGAGTCCACTCGAAACAGGAACACCCAGCTGACTGGTTGGCTCCAGGCAGTATGTCCAGTAAATTAGGAGGGGCTCATAGAAGGGGGGAAAAATGGCAGCGACGGTATCTGGGGGGGGAGATACTGGTCCCAGAGAGGGGGACCAGTCTGAGGTTCTCTGAGAAGGGGGAGGGAAGGAGGGACTTGTAGAGAGGATACCGATAATGGTAGGATCAAATAGGGGGTACTAGTCCATCTCCTACTTAGGGGGAGGGCATACATAGAGTACACTGAATAGTATATAGCAATAGAGAGTGGGATTGACTACATACACCCAAGAGATATGGAGTCAGTAAGGGTTCTACAAGTAGGGTAAGGGGTAAGAAAGAACTGGCTGGAGAAGGGCCTAGGATAGCGTCCGGTCGGGGTCTGAAAAATCAGATCCATGTTATAGCCTGTCGAGGCTGGTAGGACAGCTTGCAATAGGATAGTAGAGAAACAGAACAGACACAAGGCACATTGAGCTATCCGAACAACCAAATGGCTGAACCTCCAGGGGATTTTCCAACTCTGACTTCGACCTCTTTTTCTTTTTTTTTTGAAAGGAAAGAACCATACTTGCGGCACATTAATGATGTGTGCAGTGCGCACCGGTGCTGGCCGCTGTGCGCGGGTTTTCCCGCACGCACACAGTGCGCGATGCTGCACACCTTCAGGCCTGTGCGCCCGGTGCGCTAATTACAGGTTCTGTAATGTTTTTATTTATTTATTTCGCAGGTATACTGGTATAGCAGCTATAGCCTGAGTTTTTCATTTGCAGTGCAGGTCCTGCAATTCAAAGTTTGAAGTTTTCATTAATATGGTAATATCACAATTTCTTCAATTTGCAATCAGACCCGCTTTCTTCTTCACTTCACATACATGCAAACAGATGGCAATTCACACTGGCGCCAAGCGCCCACTCAAAGCTCAGAGATATTGAAACCGAGAACACAGTTCAGATGCAAACTCGCTTCAACAGGCTATGGCGCATCAGCGCCTGTACATCCCAGCTCTCGTCACTGTGTCCAACACCACTGTTC